AAAGAACCATGGTGTTCTCTTCAACATTAAACCTGAAAAATTTCCTTACCTTATTTAACTTCGCCAGCCAAAAAAAAAAAAACTGCTTTAATTTTTTCCCTAAAGAAAGGGGAACGCTGCTGCGGAATATATACATATACGTGCACCATAGTACTCAGAAGTCACGTTCACATGGGTGAACTGATGGATGATATTTCCCGCAACGGCAGCATGAGTAGGGAATTTGTATTTATATCATATGAAAAAACAGATCACTTGTTCGAACGCTCTCTGAGCATTGACTGGTTCTCTTTCAGTCATTCCCCCAGTTGTCCCTTTGTTTCTTCTTGTTAGGGAACTGGGTAAGGCAAAGAATTTCTTGACAGAGAGTAGAAGAAGAAAACAAAAAGAAACGGGCTATTGTCAGTTATAGTCAGTCAGTCAGACGAAGTCATCTACCCCTCTCCCTTTTAACGTTTTATAAAAGCATATGTTTCCAGCTAGCTTCTAGCCACTCTCTTTTATATATTCTCCTCTCTCTCTCTCTCTCTCTCTCTCTCTGGTTGTTACATTCATCAGTTCAGTTTTAGTGAGTAGCCATGGGAAGAGCTCCCTGTTGCGACAAAGCTAGTGTGAAAGAGGACCATGGTCTCCTGAAGAAGATGCCACCCTCAAGAACTACCTCCAGAAGCATGGCACCGGTGGCAATTGGATCGCTCTCCCCAAAAAAGCTGGTACTTTACTACTTATATATGTGTCTCTAATGATCCCTATATCATCCCATCTCTTTTGATACACATGAGTATTATCTTTTCACTGCTTTCTGAACTTTTTTGATGTGTAGGTCTTAAGCGTTGCGGGAAGAGCTGTCGTCTGAGATGGCTCAATTATCTTAGGCCTCATATAAGGCTTGGAGGGTTTACTGACGACGAAGACAAAATTATCTGCACTCTCTATGCTACCCCCTCGGAAGCAGGCAAGATTTAGTTCCTACTGCTGTTTCTCTGCTTCTTACTACAATTGCGTTTTATTACTCTCTGAATATGTTTGGTTCTTTTGTCATTAGGTGGTCTCTTATAGCTGCTCAGTTGCCTGGAAGAACGGACAACGATGTGAAAAACCACTGGAACACAAAGTTGAAGAAGAAGTATTTTGCAGCAAACAATGGTAATGGGACCACCAGCAACATTAACGACGGCAATAGTTATGTACCGTTCTTATCCTTTCCCCCTCAAACACCTCAAGGCGATGCCTTTTTGGTAGGTCACAAGGACTCGTCAGAGTATTTGAGCCTTGTGTTCTGGAGTTGGAGCAAAATACAGCTCCATTTTCAGGACCAAAACCTCTGGAGCATCAAGTTTCAGAGGTTGGCAGCGGCGTGAAGAGCGAAAGCTGCGGGATGCCATGTTCTATGGAAGTTTCATCTGCTTCAGGTCAGGTTGGTTGGCAGAAAAGAACGATCATCCCAAGTGGGTTGGCTTTAAGCATGATGATCATCAATATGATGCAAGTATGCCTGATCTTGTCTATGATGATCTCTTCATTAATGGCTTTGCTTCCTTTGATCAAGGTCTCATCAACGAATGCTTCCCAAATTAATTAATAGTCAGATTACCCCAAAAAGAAAAAGAATTGAATGGGGATGCATTTTGTTTAGGTACTCAATAGCGTGTAAACTGGTGTTTCCAACACTGCATGTTAATTCCAAAGAAAATGGTAAACAAGAGCATTGGAACTAGCGAGTTCTACTTCTCATTCATAATGTTAGAGATTTTCAAACACTATATTCTCCTGTTTGAGGTGGTTAGCTTGCTTTTATATCAAGTCAGTTGTGTTGAAAGTTTCTTTAGGGTTTGAGCAGGAAAAGGGATGCCCGTCATAGAATAACAAATGTACTGCAAAATTCAAACTCGTGTTTTCTTCACGTGAGAGATGACCCAACTCTATTCAGGTATATAGATATACATATATACATGTAAAGTGAGCTTACTTTATGCACATATAAACAGGCCAAAACCTAAAAATTTGAAAAGAAGCTTGACTGGCAAGCTTTGTATTCTTTTTTTGGACAATATTAGACTGTACTATTCACTCAAAAACTATCACTGGCTAAATTTCTTATATTTATGTATTTATATATATTTAAAATTAAAGAAAGAGGCACAAAATTACAACTGTGTGTGTGTGAGTGTCAGATTCACATCTTATCTTGTTATTTCTGCTGTCTTCGTCTCCTTTTGAACATATTAGCTAGTTATATACATTTGACTTTTCAAATGTAAAAGATCCGATCCGAATCATGTCGGCTACTCGATCATACCAGAGTGCTAGAATCATATTAGAATCTCATCCTGCTCGACATAATAAAAGGCAGCTAATTAATTGTACCCCGTACTTTATCAATCATATAAAAAAGTGAAAGATGTATATTGCGATAATTGGAGCAAACCCAATCAAAAGCTATTTTTCAGTAAAATGTCACTGACAAATAATTAAAACCTATGTGAGCAGCGTCATCTTTGGACAGCTATATATTATATTGTAGCTTAAAAGAACATCAAATTCAAACTCTCATAAAAGGGACAGTAATTTTTCTGCAACACGTATGCAATATCTAGGCATGCTTTGAAGAATGGTAATTAAACATATACACTATCAGAAGCTCGTTTTCCACGCAGAATGACGAGATGTGGTCACAGCCCACCAATTTTCGCCAGGAAAAAGTGTAAGGGGCTTTTTGGTTTTTGTTTTTTTCTCTGTTTGAAGATTGGTAATGGGTCTCTATTTTTCACTATCCATGAAATCAAATCACTTTGAAATCCTTTTACGACCAGCGTGGCAGGGATGGACTTTATCCTTTTATTACTTTTTAATATAGAATTTAATTATTAAGTTGATTTTAATTTTAAATAAGATATATTTTTCATATTTATTAATTTTTTTAAATTAGTTATATGAATACTCTCTCAACAAATAATCAAGTAGAAGAGGGAGAGAGGATATTAAGAACGATGTCATGTATTTTTTTTTTATAATTAACTAACTTACCTAATTTTTTTAATTTAATCAAATTAGTTAAATAGGTCTTATATTAAGGATTGGAGGAGTATTAAGGACCATTATTTGTGTAATTATAACCCAGCTTTTGCTTTTTTGTCCGGAATTTGTTTGACACTTAACCTTTTTTGTCCACTTTTGAGCTGTGCTATGTTATCATCATGATTTTTTTTTTGACCAATCATCACCATGATATTAAGTAAATATTATCCCACACCAATAATTTAAACTACTGATCGACTTAACATATTTTTCTCCCAAAACATTTTGGGTGTGCCGATATTTTCCCCCCAGCTATATATGAATTTAATTCAAACATATTATGTCATGCACATGCTGATTCGGCATGTTTATGCCGTAACCATCCCAACGAGAAAAAACAAAACACTAGAATTATACTCCTTCAGTTTTTAATATAAAAACCATTTAACTAATTTGATCAGATTAAGAAAGTTAGTTAATTATAATAAATGTGACACGTTTTTTCTAAAATATCATAATCATCTTTCTTAATATCCCCTCTTCCTCTTCTATTTGATAATTATAGTTGCGGGAGTATTCATAGGGATAATTTAGAGAAAATTAATAAATATGAGAAATGAGTCTTATATTTAAGATCAAAACTAACTCAACAATTGGATCCTATATTAAGGACCGGAGGAGTATCAAATTCTCGTAGGCCTTCAACGTCTTCCACAGATATAAAGCGCGCAAGAACTTCAGCAATTAAACTCGTTGATTTAGATTTAATAATTTTTTAAAAGTAAAAATTAATTTATATCGTTAAAAATTTGATATCGAAACAGTTTATGAATACAGTGAAGATTTTGTAGAGAGAAGTAGATTGAAATACCCAAGCCATTTTAAAAAGTGTATATATATATATATAATTTTTTGGCCAATGGATAATACGAATAAAGTAGAAATTGACAATCCCAATCAAGTTATTGAAAGTACATGAAATATCTAGGTAGCAAAGTTAGTTTTGTGGTCTCCTGCTTCTAGACGGCCGTGTATCAAATTTCAAAGACATAGTGCTCTCTTAGGCAGCGCCACTTTCCTGACATGATAACATTTGAAACTTTGTCAAAATCTTACCATCACAGACTCAATCTGATTGATAATTTAGATGCATCAAGTCAAAATAATAATCTCCTGGGCACACATTAACAATTGAATGTAAAATCCAAACAAAACAAGTTCTTATTATACGACAACAACTCGATTAAGATCAGTCTTAGCACCCAATTAAAGTATGATTTTCCAGTTAATGAGGTTTCTCCTATGTGGAATGCTGGCCCAATCTATACCTCTAGAGTCAAGGCGTTAATGAAGTCCCGGGACCCTTTTCTTCCTGAAAGTGAAGGGAAAAGGACAATTGGATTGGGAAAATCCAACCGGAAATCTCCCTAGTCAGAACAATGATCGACTAACAGATGTATTCTGAAGAATTGAAGCAATTGTCAGATTCCATGATGTGGAATTCATCTTTTAGTATATTCAAACTGCATTGAGAAGTTTCTGATAAGTCATAAGTAGTTACGGCAGTTCAATGTCTCTCTAAAGTTTGATTGAAGAATTAATGGGTGCTAGACATTGATTATCTCTGATGTCAAATAGAATTTTATTTTTGAACTAATTACTAGCATATTAGAGACATTATTACTGAAACAGAGTCCTTATCCTTTTACAATTAGTGGATGATTTCAAATATTCAGTTATCTACCAACAAAGGAGTACCAACAAGAATGAAATCCTAAACATTTTGTGTTGCAGTTTTACCTGCTCAGTTTAATCAATCTATTGGTTATGAATGAATGTGATTAATTGAATGATACAAACCACACAGATCTTGCAATTACAAGTGACTCGTGATTGAGTTCATAATATGAGTGTGATTAGCTCTTGGGAATATGGCACTTTCAAGGGTGGTTCGCAATCCATAGTTGTCCATCTTTATGCTTTCATAAGAATTTGTACACTTGCGCCAAGTACATCTGAATATTTTTTTCAATACACACACACACACACTTATTTTCACTATCTTGGAAAAGGGTAGGTGATAGATTCATCATCCAATGAATATGTCTCAGACAAACTATGCAACTCGCTATAGATCTGCGCTGGTACCATATATGTTTCACTCTGACTAGGCACCTCTGTTTCCAGACACTTTTTTAGCTCAGATAACACAAAACTCATTGTAGGTCTATGAATTGAGGCTGGCGCAGTACATGCCATTGCTGCTCCTAAAGCCTTCCACACAGAACATGCATTGTATTTACCATGTAGCTTTGGATCTACAATTTTACTCAAATCTCCTCTTCGAAGCTCAGATCTTAACCAGTCAAGTATGTGAACTGATTCCTCTCCCTTTAATACAGCAGGTTGACCTGTAATTAGCTCCAACAGAACAATTCCAAAGCTATAGACATCACTTTTCTCATTCAACTTCCTTGATTTGTAGTATCTGAGCAAATAAACAACAACAAAATTGTTGGTGGCAGTTAGTATATCCATCAGAGAATGAAAATGAGCCCAAATGACGAAGATTGTAGCCTTACTCTGGGTCAAGGTACCCTTTGGTACCCATAACAGCAGGTTCTGCATTTCCTTGATCGTTTGTATTCACTGAGGATCCTACATCTCTAGTGTCATTCTTAAACACGTGGGAGAGGCCAAAATCTGCTATCTTAGCTTCCAACTTCTCACTTAGAAGAATATTGGCCGTCTTCACATCTCTGTGTATTATAGGTGGCTTGCATCCATGGTGTAAATACTCCAATCCTACAAGTCAAAACACATCATTGTCATTGAATGAATGCACAACAAGGGAACTGCTGGCTTCCTCTAGAGTGAAGATCACACACACACACACAGAGACCCTGTGCAGCGTCAATTGCTATCTGAAGTCTCCTTCCCCAAGTCAAGCAACGTGAATTTCTTGCTGCAAGGGTAACCAAAGTATGGCCTCTTCAGTATTTAGTGCCATAAATTTAGAAGCAAAAACGGAAGGTAATGAGTGTACCTGAAAGGTAGTTTTTGAGGTTTCCATTTCCCATGTACTCATATATGAGTGCCATTTTGTTTCCATCATCGCAATAACCAATGAAGGCTACCAAATTTTTGTGATGGACTGTCATCAAGAGCTCAGCCTGCAAGCCAGGATGCTTTTCTGTTGATGGTTCTGTCTAATGTTAAAAAGCACCCCCATTTAAGTCCGAACCAGTGACACAATAAATTACCGGTTACCTCAGTCTGAAATTCCCTTGGCCCTTGAGATGATAATGGAGAAAGCTTTTTTACTGCCACTTGGTTCCCATCTTTCATCTGACCCCGGTACACAGTCCCAAATCCCCCCTTCCCAATGACAATTTCAAAGTTGTTGGTGATGTCCAATACCTCTGCAAAACTATATTGCCACTTCTTTGATGCCACAAGTGTTCTTTCTTTGTTGGAATTACTTGTATGATCTTTGGTTCAAAAGGATACAAAATATGAGATTCTATATAGCCCTAAAGACTCCATTGAGAATAGAAATCAGTTGTTGGGAGTTATCAAATAAAGCAGTACCTGGTTGCACATTTCTTCTAACTTTCCAGATGATAATGAAAACAATCAGTAGAACCAGAAGTGATGATATCGTAGCAACTATGGGAACAAATACATTTAGCTTCTTCTCGCACTTGTCTGAGCCACAAAGATTCTGGGCATCCACACTGAAAATGGTGAGAACAAGGAAGTCACTACCAGGTCACATTTATATGTCTTAAACTGATTTTGATGACATCTCTTTGAAGCTTTAAATGCTTCATACTTGCATTCTCACTCTCTCTTTATTGAGTTTTGTTTGTTTCAGGACAAATAAAAGAAAGGAAACTTCTCTAGGTCTTCAATAGCAATTAGTGCGGCATACCTCAGTTTAAGCAATCCTGCCCTTGATCTTTTAAGAAGAGCTGTAGGGACAAGACCTGATAGTTGGTTGCCTTTCAAATTCCTACAAATAATTTAACTTTCTCCTCATCCCCAAGCTATATAAGGGCTAGGTGCATATACCACCAAAATATTAGGACTTACAAAATTTTGAGAGATCTCATCTCTGCCAGAAACTTCGGAATTGACCCCGATAAGCTATTGTTTGATAAATCCCTGAGGTAAAAAAAATTCCTTGTGTGCTATTTATTAGGATGATACAATTCTTAAAAGTCATAGGCATGATGGTAAGATAATCAAGATCAGTTAAATGTTCACTTACAATGATTCAAGTGATAAGAGGTTGCAGATGGCAGAAGAAATCACCCCACCCAAGCTGCTTGAGCTCAGATTCCTATCAAAATAAATTTCTCCCTTCTAAAATTTGAATCAAACAAAGGTGGTACCTCTCTACGAAATCAGAGTTCTCAGAATGGAAGAACATAAATATGTAGGTACTCACAGAGATGCGATTCGTGGAGGATGTGAATTGCTATGTTTACATGTTAAGCCTTCCCAAGTGTGGTTCTTTGGCTCACACGGATCACCCACCCAGTTTCTTTCAATTCCATATGCATCTTTGATATCCACGATAGCATTTACTGTGTTTCTTATTCAAGAATCAGTGTCAGGCCATATGATATAACATTTGCTTTTGCAACTGGAATTTCAAGCCAAGAAAAACAAACCATACCATCCTTCTCAAGTGTTGGGAATGCATCCATCATTCTAACTTCAAATATCTCAACTGCGTTAAGGATGGGCGGAAGGGTTGAATCTTCAGTTCTATGAAGAGAAATTCGATGTTCATGTCCCATCAGGGGTTTCAAATTCGATATTGTGGTTGCATCTAAGTAGCTTGGGACTAAGGGTCCAAACAATGAATGTCCATTCCAGGATATTCTGAATTTCCTTAGTTGGTTAATCTTAAGCTGCTTCACCTCAGCAAAATACAAGTATACATAGAATTTTGAATTTGGAGCATTTGGGGTCCAAGAGAATTCAAAAGGAGCACTAACATTTTTGGGTCTTGAAGAAGTTCTCATCACTTCAGATGGCATTCTATAGCCATTGTTATTGCCATTTATAGCATGGGAAGTGTTGACAGAATCCCAGGAAGATGAGCCATATGGGGACCAAATTCTGTCATATATGTCATCTTCATATCTACCGCTACCATTAATTGCTCCAAGGTCCCATCTTTTGAAAAGTAACAGTGAAGCTGATGCACCAAACTCAGTATTATAAATCGAACTATTGAGTGGTCTTAGTTCCAACGCTGAGATAAAAGGAGTTCCCAGTCCCCTGTCCACAAGACAAACATTCGTCACCTCTGATTCTGCCATGCTGATAATTTCAAGTGTAACTTGCTCTGAAAAATTTTTGAAGCTTACTGAGGACCAGAAATTGGCACCAACATAGAGATCAAATTCTGGAAGCCTGTTTTCTCCATCGTAGTTCCCATACAAAAAAGAGGCCCTTATCAAACGTAAGCTTCCTCTTTGTCCAGCTCTTAATGTGTAACAGTTCCTCTTTCCCTTGGGGAAACTTCTGAGGTCAGACATTGGTAATGGTAGATTGGGATTGTTTGGATATGAGTATTCTGACGATATGTTTTTGTTAACCCCTGCTTGTATGTAGGCTCCATCTGTGCTGTACTTTATTTGATCGCTATCATCTGTGTATTCAAAATTCTCTGGACCTCCGCAATCAATACTGATGAAGCCTGAACACAGAGTTAAATCAAATTAGCCTCAGAAAAACAAGGTTTTAGATTGGTTTAGAATGAATACAAGAACTCAAATGTGACATAAACAAGGGCAAGGACTGAGGACAACCCATTGAGTAAAATATTGCGTGCGATAACTTCATAACGAGAAGTTGCAGAAGAAAAGGAATTATGAATCTTAAATGCAGGACCGTATTATCACAGGGAAGGCTAACCTGTTTGTCTCTGTCCAAGAACTGAAACCATAAGAACAAGATGAAGCATCATAGTCGAGGAGATGAATCTGATCAGCATTGTCATGTCTGAACCAAAAAAGGGCCTTGTCTGGTCTACGAAGATTTCATATCTTACCAAGTGCCATAATCATGCAAAGTTAAAATCAAATGAAAGCAGAGATAGGGACTTCTTAGTCTTTAGTTCATTAGTTGTCAAGTTGGATGTCTTGGTAGTTACGGTAGCTCCACCCCAAGGTAAAAAGTGGATATAGTGAGATCATTTATCTTCGTTGAATGTGGAAAGAAGAGTGTCCATAGATGAGAAGGATATACTTAAATTACCACAAAAAGATTAAAAAAACGATGAAATCAGCAAAGCTGGAGAATAGGAAAAGGCGAAGGAGTCAGCTTGAACTGATTGGCGCTGGCTCACCTACTTGGCCATTCTGCACTTTGATTACTTAGAATATCACATAAATAGTTATATTAATTGACAACTAACTATTTTAAAATGAGAAGCAAACTAGAGCAAGTTATCCTAAGGATGTCAATTAACCAATTAGCTAAGATATCGCTTGGTCTTATTCAGCTTTACAGCTTTTATTCATGCACACACACAATATATATATATCTTGGTCTTTAAAATGGTCAGGCCAAGCCAAACCCATTTAATATTTATTAATAAACCATTCTTCTTCTTCTTGTCTTATTCTTCTACTTTTGTATTCATTATTCATTAATCTTTGTAATCATGTACTGGACCCTAGCGAGTTTATAGTCACCACAAGGTTTAGGTTCCATTCTGATTACTTATGCGCAACAAATCGCTTTCCTTCTCCAATTTTTTATTTGCAAGTTTAAATTATGTACATAAATACAAGTTTTTATAAACTGATTAATAGGGTGTCTGTATCAGTTTGAAATTTAAAATTAATACAAGTTGGAATATATAGAGGAATCCGTCATTTGTCTTTTTATAATTATCTCAGAGGATTATAGACAAAAAGAAACAGTCTCTTCGTTTGGTTTGATGTTTTGGTCCAAGTGATTAATATCCTAACTCTAAATTATCAAATACGAATATTCTTTGCTAGTTGTCATTTTCTCGTCATCTTGCATATCAAGATTCGTGATTAGTAATTTTTAACTTGATGCCTTTAGGATTCAGAACAAAACACAAGCTAGTCAAGAATGTTGTTTAAGATTTTCAAATGATGAATGAGAAACGCTGAATTAAAAATTCATATAGAATATATAGAGTAGTTTGAATATAATTATCGAATAGAGTTTATAATTTTATATGGAAGAGAGAAAAAAGCGTTAAAACTTGATCAATTTTACTATATATATATATATATTAATTTCAGTAAACGGAATGTTATACAAGACTAAAATGGAGAGATTATAAAAATAATAAGAATTTTTTTTCACAAGTTAGAATATTAATTTTAAATTTTTTCTACGATTGAGATTAAGATAACAAGTCTCACAGATTAGTAGTAATTATACTACGTCAAGATCCACTACAATTTGTCAGCTCAAATCTTCTTGAGAATTATAAGGAGGCCTCAATAGGGAAAAAAAAAGAAAGTAGGTTTTAATAATAAATGAGTAGTCTGCACCAAAAAAAAAAGGTGAGTAGTTGTCATTTATTGCTTTAGAATTTGTTACTGGCATCTTGCAGACTATTCTATTGTTATTGAGATTTTACCGTAATTATATTTTTTACTTGAAACTTTATATTAATTTTTCCAATTCTCTTTTCCTTCGCTGCTTCTCTTTTATCAGTGAGCCTCAAATAAGAACTTTTTCCTTTTCTTATTATGCTTAATAACTTTATATAACTTTTAAATTAATTATTTTAATAAAAATCAAACAATTGCCTTTTCATTTCCTTATTATGACATATTAGAAAAACCTCATAGTCTAAACTTTTTATTTTATTATGTTTGAGATGAGCACTTTATTGAGTCAAAGGCTATTTGCTTTCGCTTGAATAGTCAACATCAGTTTTTTCCATCTAGTCTTGGTGAGGAAAACTTAGAAGCTTAATCAGCACGGAAGAGCCTCATGTTCTGAAAGCTTATCGTATACTATCTTGTTGTTACTGAGACTTTTTAATAATTATTTTTTTTACTTGAGGCTTTATAGCTATTTTCCTGATTCTTTTTTCCTCCTTCATTTCACGCTTCATCCTTTATATCAGTGAGCCTCAAACGAGTACTTTTTTCTTTCCCTATTATGCTTAATAACTTTATATAACTTAATAAAATTAGTTTAAATTAATCATTTTAACAAAAATCAAATGAGTACTTTTTCTTTTTCTTATTATATGACATATGAGGAAAACCTCGGAGTCTAAACTTTTCATTCCATCATATTTGAGACCGGCATTTTATCGTGTCAAAAGCTATTGTTCTTGCTTGAATATCCAATTTCAGTTTTACATCTAGTCTTGGTGGGAAAAACTTCGAAGCTTAATCAGCACAAAGAAGCCTCATGTTTTGGAAGATATTCTTATGATATTTTTTATTTGCTTTCCTTTTTCCTTATGTTTCCATATTAGTTCATCTTCTTTTATGGCTATTTCCAACTATAATTTCTATTCTTGTTCTATTATTATACTTTGAACCTTTTTTTTGGGTGAAATGAACTTTTACTTTTTACTTAATATTATTTTGTCTTCATTAAAAAAAATTACCAAAAAGAATAAATTTATTCTCAATCCTAACATCACTTTTTTAAACATAGCCCATGCCTCTGATTCAAATTCCCACTTATGACTCGCCGATAATATCAATATAAAATTTTTATATTTAGTTACTGCACCTACCTCATTTATCTTGGGAAAAACTTATTTATTTAAATTTATATTCTTAATATATTTGTTTTCAATAAAGATCACCAACAGACATTGATTTTAGTAGAAGGAAGCTATGATCATTTAAGTATAAAATCAAGTTTAATTTTTTAGTAATAAAAAATTATTTACTTTGATTTAATAAAAAATACATTTTCAATTAAAAGGAGTATTTAATAATTACAGTGTTGTATTGAGCAAGCCTCGTTTTCCCGCCAAAGAGAAATTGGCTGCCGCAACGAAAAGCCCGCGGTTCCGGAATCTTCCTCTTATTCCTGACTCTTAACGTTCCACCTTCACTGCCGATTGTTGGTTTGCTGCTCGCCGAACAGTCGCAATGGTGACTTCATCTCTCTCTAAATCGGGATTTCATTTGTTATTTCGTTATTGGATAACCTAGTCTTCAATTATCCCTATTTGTAGCATTTTTCGCCTCCGTGACTGATCTTATCGTTCACTAGTAGCTCCTTTCTTTAGTAGGATTTGATATCACATATCTGAAATCACTGGGAAGTTGGTTGGTTCTAGAGTTGAATCTTGAGCGCCCTTTTCTTATTTTGTTCCTCTTCGTTTTCGTCATTGAATATAATGGGAGTTGGTAAATGTCCCGAATTAACCACCAAAAGAAAAATTGCTATATGAAATACCTAATTGTTTTCCTGCATGTTCAATAGATTGTTTTACGATTGTAATCGTGGCTCTCTCCATGTATGAGAAAATGACGCGTTCTTCTGGCAAGGTCTTGGTGGTTTTCCTAATGACTGATAGATTGTTTTTGTCAATTTGTTTGTCTTGCGATGGATTGGTGCGTTTTTGCTTACGGTGCAGTCGAAGAAAAGAGGTCTTTCATTGGAAGAGAAGCGAGAGAGAATGCTCCAAGTCTTTTACGAGTCACAAGACTTCTTCCTGGTTAGGTTCTCGTGTAACTTTCTAGTTGCTAGCCTCATTTCATTCACTACTGCATTAATTTGTTTTTTTTGTTATCATCAACTGACTAATTATATATGGGTTCTTTTTAGCTTAAGGAGCTTGAGAAGTTAGGTCCCAAGAAAGGTGTCATCACTCAGTCCGTGAAGGATGTCATCCAAAGTTTAGTGGACGATGACCTTGTTTCAAAAGATAAGATAGGAACTTCTGTGAGTTAACATCTACAAATAGAGACTGAATAAAATAGTTTTCATTTTCGCGCCCACCCACTCCTTTGTTTTATAGTTAGGGCCATCAGATGCTTGTCCCACCCACAAGACTTGAGAAACGGAAATTTTAAGCTGTCTTTGACATTCGGACAAATTATTCTCAGAGATAACCTTGACATGACTGATCTCGTATTTTGGCTGTCAGGTATACTTTTGGAGTCTTCCAAGCTGTGCAGGAAATCAGGTGAAACCCTTGAGGACAAAGTGACATTCTGCTGTTTTACCATTTTTGGTTGATAACTTGGTCACTGCTCTCCAGATTATTTGGCTGTAGCTTGATTACGGCATTAACACAATTTTGTATAGCTTAGGAATGTTTACCACAAACTTGAATCTGAACTCAAAAGCAACAAGAAGCGGTATGTTGAACTTGCTGATCAATGTGAGGTGCTAAAGAAAGGACGAGAGGAATCTGTGAGTTATGATTCATCATTCCTTACTAGTGTATCATTTGCATTTTGCTCTACTACAAGAGTATCGATTGTATCTCCTCCAGGACGAACGAGAGGAGGCCTTAGCGGATCTAAAAGCCATTGAGCTGAAGCATAATGAGTTGAAGGTTGATTTGCAGTTTATTTGTTCACACTGCATTAAGTATGATCGTAATTTAATGAATTCCATGACCGCAATCAATTAATATTTTATGGTTTCAGGAAGAGTTGGGAAAGTATGCAGACAATGATCCAGCTGCCGTTGAAGCAATGAGTTAAGAATTGTTCATTTGGCGCCTTAATTGGAAAAATTTAGAAGTTAATCCTTATAACTTGTGATGGTTTTCATGTCGGATCACTGATGATTTGATGTCGATATCTGCAGAGGAAGCAATTGAAGTTGCCCATGCAGCAGCCAACAGATGGACAGGTTCTGCTTAATGTTTTCCTTTTTTCCCTTTTTCCAATAAATTGGGTTTACTAGGGGAGGATGTCTGGATTTTCGAAATGTCACATTACATTGTGCTGAATAGAACCTCCAAATCATAGTGGCTAAAAAATGTGTGCAGACAACACTTTCACCCTGAAGCAATGGTGCTCAAACAACTTCCCCCAGGCCAAGGAGCAGCTTGAAAACGTGTATAAGGAGGTCAGGTTTTTATGCCTCTTTATGTAAAGCTCGATGCTTAAACCCTCTGTTAAGTTGTTATCTTTGACCCTATGCAATGGATTTCTTTTGCCTTTCATAGTCACTTGAATGAGATTGAGATCACTATCCTGCTGCACAACGTAGCTAGGACACAGCCTTCCTTGAGGAGAGTTGGGTTGTTTATCCACGTTTCTTCTTCTTATGTCTCCTTATCTCTTGCACCTTAATCTTAATGCAGATTGGGATAACAGATGATTTTGACTATTTGGAGCTAGCACCCCTTCCCCTCAGGGCTGTTGGTGATTTGGAACTTTGAACCAAGACGAAGGCCACTCATTGCTCGTGTCTCTAAGTTACCGATCTTCATAAAGTAAAGCTGATTATCATGATTTCCTATGGGATCTTCAAACAAAAAACAGTGGCATGCTATTTTCTCTTCCCCACATCCCTAACTTCATCAAAGTCTCAAGGATAGCGTAATCAGTTCAAAAGAAGAAGCAAGAGTTTCTTTAAGCGAAAATATATCAAGAGGTTTTAAGAATATATAGGATTTAGGATTTAATTGAAGTGTTTATTGTGCTTACCTAATAGTATTTACTGTCTTGTTTTTGTTCCCTTTAACCGCGGCCGCCACTTTCATGAGGTTTATGACCATCCTGTTTGGAGGATGCGGGTATTTGTTTGTGTGAATTGTGTTCACGCTCTGGTCATGATTACAATTTTGAGTAGAGTTTTAATATCCTTAGTGGCCCGAGTTCTTTATTCGTTCGATCCTCTGGTCATGATAACGAGTTAACCACCACAGGCATCCATTTCTGTAGATTATGAAGGCATAACAAGTTCAGTTGAACATAATTTTCTCTGAAAGATGACAGAACAATACTGTTCTGCTAACATATCCTCATACCCTTTGAGCGACTAATGTGCGGAGGTGATTGAATGAAAAACAAAATGAGTATATGAAAAGAATTTTATTTTATCTTGAGTAAAAGTACTTTTTTAAAGTACTTCTGGGAGTTTCTAAACACTCTCATCAGATTGCAAAAGTGTTTTTACGAGGTTGGAGAGCTGAACTTTGTTCTTATTGGTAGATTTCTGCCATATTACCATATTAACTAGCTAATTAGTCAAAATTTATCTTCTGCCTCAGTTTTAGTGTGCCTTCATCTTTAGTTACATCTCAGCTGCCGTCATGTGACTAGGTTGTTTGTTGAGCAGCTTATCTCCCAGATCTTGTTATAACTTGTGAGGATCTATGAACTTATATCAAGAAATTCAGTCAAACTATATATAATGTTATTAAAATTTTATAGTTATCTGTAACAAAGTTTATTAATTAGATATGATTTGTTTAATCAGTCATGAACATAAAAGACAACAGATATTTAGAAAAAAATTAACATTTTGGACAAAAAATCTTATAAACTAAACTTGTCCCATGACAATGACAACAAAGGGAAGAGAAATAATTATTGAACATTTTCGTTGCTTGTGAATTGGTTTTCTGACTTGGCCACATGACTGTTGGTGAACGTGCAGGCAACCAAAACTCTGTCGCATCTAATTGTTTCTTCCATATTTTGTCCATATGACTTTGTCATTCTTCTTGGCTTCCTGCTTAGGCGCCCAAAAACAATTCTGAAAGAGGCGCATTGTTCGGCAAATCATGCCAACTTAACAAGTTCGTCACCATATATGTGATTATATTTATACATCGTTGCCTTCTTTTTAGGGTAATATGATTTTTTCTAGTAATTTTTATTTAATCAAATATTAAAAATATATCCTACTACACTTCTTTAATTTAAAAAAAGACACATAGTAAATGATGTCATTGTAATCAATATTCCATAGCATTGCATCCACGTCATTGCATTGCCGGGTGGGCTGTTTGGGCTGCAACCAAACGGGCCCATTAGCACTGTGAATTTTTTTTTTGATATGACTATTTAATTATGTTAGATTCAAATATTGGTAAACTTGGCTGGGAAATAATTTTTTTAACACATTTTCTGTATTTACACAAATTCAACCTCGAACGTAAAATTTGGTGTTTAGGAAATGAAAGTCCTTTCAACTATAATCAATATATTAAATTTTTATTTCTCCATATGTGCAAAAAGTTAATTAAAAGAAGAGGGAGTACAATCGAATTCGGCTTCACTCCCTTTCTCTTCCGGTCCGCTGGGCTGTGTGTCGTGGATGAGTTGTATCTGTGGCCCCTAGGGATGCGGTCCAAGCCAACGGTCGCCGTCCAGGTAACGGCTCAATCATGTCTCGAAATTTGAGGAGAGGGAAAAGATTTAAGATTTCAGGGTTCAACCGAATCAGTTGTCTAAATATTAAATTAAATATTCAAATTTGAAATGTTGAACCGAATCAATCTCTATTGTCAATATCTGTGGCCCGGGCCGCCTTCTGTAGCACAGCTCGAAATTGCCTGGACTGTGTAACATGGGCACAATCTCATCTCTACACCTGTCATCCATCAACCTTTCTTGGTGGGTCCTACATCTTCATTCCTGCATGTTGCTCCTCTTTTTCTTGTTTCTCCCTTTTCTTAGTTGCCAGCCAGAGTGTCTGCTTCGTCCCAAGATTCTTCTCTCGATGCATAAAAAGCTTCGCCCTCCTCCTCTTCCTCTTGCAAACAACTTGCTTATATATTCTCCCATCACAGCCCATTCTTGCCCTCGAATCCTCTCAAACGCAGAAGAAAACAGAGGTGGAGAACTTGATAGCAAATAGCAATGGAGGTTCTTGCGCTTAGACTTCAATATTTCTTGATGGCCATTTTCGCTCTTGCCTTGCTTTTTGCAGTGCCGACCATCAATGCTCAGAGCCCTGCTCCCGCACCACCTCCTACCAGTGATGGTACTTTTTTATTGATGCCTCTCATCACCTTTCTTCATTTTTTGGTTTTTTTTTTTTAAAGCTGCTTCCATCATTAATTTCTTCTGTGTCTTCGATTCTTTCCTGGGGCTGTTTTAATGGTCTGATAAGGTTCGTTTTAAATGGTGTTTGCCTGACAGGGATGGCAATTGATCAAGGGATCGCCTACGTGCTCATGCTAGTGGCTCTGCTTCTTACTTACATCATTCATTAAGCCTTTGGATATAAAGGCAGGCCTGAATTTGCGAACTTTGTATATTGATTGATTGTGTTCTATTTTTGGTTCTGTTTCCTGTTCATATGCTGAAGCTGTGATCTTTCAATGAAATTCTTTGATTTCCTGCGTTCCTCCTCCTCTCTGTCGAATTTGCTTGAAGTGTGAGTACTCTTTCTGGGGCAAAGAAGAAATGACATTTCTGCAACGTGGTGATCAGTATTCCAGAGTTGATGACGTAAACAAACCTCGCAATATAAATAAAAAGTAACTGAAAATTGATTTAAGCAGCCACGCCTTTGCCCTTTTTCCCCTTCTTTTCAAAGGATCATTCGCGCAAACAGCTCGCAATTTACATTTCGAAGTGAAAACAACGGTTTTCTTTTCAAAGGGTGTTCGAATGGAATCAAAAACCATAATTTTAAAAGTACTTTTACGGGTGGAGGTATTTATCTTGATTTGAGAAAAAATACTTCTTTCATGGTGTCCAAACACCTCCTTACTGTAAAATAACTCTGAGGGTGTCCGTTCAATGCCAAAAGCGCTGTTTCCAGACAAAACGCACACCTGATTTCTGAGATTCAAATGTTTAAATCATTTCACGGCAATCTGAGTTCATATAGATGGATTTTGAGGTCCGGCTCTGTAAGTTGAAGTTTTGAGTAAAACGGCACACCGAAGACATGCAAGTAAAGACATTCTGTCATTGACCCAAAATGAACTAAAATATGAATTCCTCATGAGATGATAGTAAGTCATCAATGGCATTGCAAGAAGAAGTCATAAATCTTTAAGGATACATATTAGAGACACGTGAGTTAACCTTTCACTCTAGATGAGGATTTAATCTCCTTGCTTCTTGTTACCTAACCCTTGAACCTTTAGATAGGCTTATTTAGGGTACAACACTACAACCAAGTTACAAGCAACAACTAAGTTTTGTTAACTATTCAATATTCCACATCCCATTTCGTAATAAGCCTAAATTGAGAGGCTTTGAGATAAAAGAGCCATCGGAAATGCGGGTCTTCTTTTGAAAAACAATGATCCATGGAGACAATCCGCTCATATCTTGGCCTCTTTCTCAAAAACAAAAACCCGACAGTATCACACTAGGACTAATTCAACGTCCTTGAAGGGTGATGGGTGATTCTCTTGGAGTTGGACAAGCACATGACTATCCGTTCCCACTGCAGCTTTTTCATCTCCAGGACACATGCTAACTTCGTCATCACTCATCACCAGGACCCAAGATTTTTGTTCACGATGACTCAGCCTCCTTTCAATGACTCATAGCTCATATTTATAAATTAGAACTAGATTAATATAATAAGGGGGAGGGATATTTGCCCAAATCATGCTACGGAGAGAAAACCAGGGAGCAGACTACTTGGCCAACTGCGCTATTTACATGCCTTCGGGCTGTCGTCCTCTTGATGAAACTCCTATGGGGCTCTCGCCCATGCTTGTAAAAGATAAGCTTGGATCCACTACCCCAAGATTTTTAAAAAGATCTTTATTTTTACTTTTTTTAGCAATTCGTCTCAGTATGGGTTGTTATATTTTCCTTTTGAAAACCAATATAATATTTTACCATAAAAAATCTAATCCCATCCAATGCTTCTGTTCAAGCTGTGTGCCTCCAACCAATCTACACCACCACCTTCTGTATAAACATGACCCATACCTACCTTCCAAGTGCTTTTCATCCCTCTCCAAGCTCCACGAAGTTGATGTTCCGCCTAAGTTAATGTAGAATACGATAAAAATTTATTGCATCTTTATGTATTTGAGAATTTCTCATTTTTTTGTCCTGTTTTAATTAACTTGATAAGAAAAGCACGGCATTGGGTCTGGATTATCCGGATAAGGCAAGGCCCTGAAAAGGCATTAAACCAAGGTAGAAACTGTCATTTTGGGGAAACAACCTAGAGAATTGCCAAATATCCAATGGGAGAATAAAAATCTTATGACAACCATTAGGGAAAATAAACTGCCAATCATGATCTCTATGAAGCGATTAGCAAATACTTTCAAGAAGCAATGTACTTTTATCTGCCGGAAATGTGCTTCTATACTCCCATTCACCAGAGCAAACAAAGTCGCTCACTAATCATTTCTTTTATTCATTGAAGACAGGTTCAAGGATATAAGCGGACTGGGGCCAAGACTAATATTAATTCCATCCAGGATACACACCAAAATGTATGATTAAGTAAATGCATTCCATCAAGGACTAGATTTTTTTTTTGGGGGGGGGGGGGAGCAGTTTAAATGTAACCAATAGACAAATCACACAACATAAAAAAAACAACTCGCTTCGGAGATTGGATGCAAGGGTCGATGGACTTTTCTGTTCAACTTTTGACACCGTTATATACACCTGCTGGTTTGTTCAATATATCGCATAGATAAAGGAGACTGAGAAAAGCAGAATTCTCCATAACAGTGGCTAGAATTCTTTATGAAAGCCACACGTGATAAGCACAGCGCCTGCAAAATTCTGGCAGAAAGCTCAATTACAATGAGAGCAACCAACTAAAATAAGCTTCCCACATTTTCCTCGTGAAAGCAATCTAAGGAATAGATTTCAAATTGCAATACAAAATGATGCATAATTGCATACACAAGCCATCCAATTGCAACATTAATTAACTGAAATAAATGCATAAATAACGGGATTAGATGGCATTACTGCTAAAAATAAGGACCTGCTTAAAGCGCCATCTCAGCTTGCAAAGCAGCCAATTCATCTTCCTCAGCAGTGCGCTTCTGAGGAGCAGGGCGAGCAGGTTGCCTCCCAGCTGGGACCTGCACTGGAGCTGCAGGAGCTGTAGTCGCAGGTTGAAGAAGCTGTTCTTCCAACTCAGCACCCTCCAATTCTTCAAGTTCTGCTTCCAATTCATCCTGAAGAGACAAAGAAAATGAGAGTGCTCCGCAGGTATATTTCAAACAACAGTGTAGATCTGTTTTCTTTGCTTTTAGGGATTTTTGCCAACCCCTTCAAAAAAGTTCACCTAAAAGAATCATATCTATGTCTTGTCCAAATACAAATAAAGTTGAAATGATTAGAAGAGGACCTCATCAAAATCTGCAGCTGCACCGATTGGGGTTGATAATGCTTCTTGAATCTGTTTCATGTTCTCAGTTTGTTCATTAATCTCATCCATGGTCTTGTCAACGTCATCAATATTCCTGTGAAATAACATAGCAAGATAAACAATTCACAATCAGCATTCCATTAATAAAGATAAGCCAGAATATGAAAATAGTACAAGTGATATGAAGAGAAAAACAAAACTTCCTATAATTTAAAAGTGAAAAAAGATATGAACATCACTAAAACAAATTCAATACGCCACATACGTTGCCTTTTGCATAGCCTTCATAGCAGAAGCTCCAGTTCTCAAAGCATCCACTGTTTCTGTGGTGGCCTTAGCACCTTCCAACATTATCATCTATACCACAAATCATCAGAAGATGCAAAAGAAGTTCAGTAAACTCAAGCATTGTCTGAATTGTCCATAAATAAAAAGTTGTATTCACACCTGGTCATGAATACGCAACTGGAAATTCCCGAGCTGCTCTACTTGCTGTTCATATAACCTCTTTCTCTTCAAACATTGTATGGCCGCTGCATGAAGTAGAAATTCAAAAGCAAAGTGACAAGCTTTGACTCAGTACCCAAATCTAATAACAATTATCCCCTAGAGATTAGGTATCCACTTGTCAAGCATATACATACACTGACACACCCTATAAGAAATGTAAAATGAACTTTTGACGACCACATAATGTGTTGTTTCCTCAGAATAACACATTGTATATGAAAGGGTAAAAAAATTATTTATTTCAGAGATATACTGATCCAGGATAAGAAGACAGTTCTACAATCTACACCATCACAAAGATCCGTGAGTTTTGCAAAATACCTCTTTTATTTTTTGCCCTTGTAAATTCTTTAGCCTTTTCAACCTCTGCCGCAGCCTTTTTAATAAGTACTTTCTCCTTTTTCTCCAGCATTTCAAGTGTCTACAAATGTACGATTCCAAGAAGAAAAACAATTTTGAACATATTCTCAAATTACTCTGCATACCATGCACCACTAACAGCCAGCTACCGTGGCTGAGAATCAGATAAAACACAAGAATATTCTAAAAATGAATTCAAAAATAATTATATTATCACTCCGGCTATGATCATGAAACGTCTACAAGACTAATAGAGCACTACCAACACAAAACAGACAAAAATGGGATTTCCTGCTCTCCCAGCCATATTCTAAACAAAGAAAAAGTACTATCTGAAATCTTGAACGACTAATCTCAAGTAAGAACAAACTTAAAAGGTTTGGCTGGGATGTGATGAGATTCATAATATAGCGTACTTTTTACATAGGAGTTTCCCTTGGAAAAACGAATCGTTTGTTTGAGGCCTTCAGAATGTCAACACAGAAGGTAACATAGTGGGAAATACAATTACGGGTTGAATTACATTGAGAATAACGCGAATTCCAACATAAATGAACATGATGATCAAATAAACACACTGAACCGAAAATAATAATCGCCGACGAAAAAAATGATAATGATGATTTTTATACCACGGAAAAATCCACAGGCAGGTTTTTATCAACAATCAAATCCTACTAACCTCATTTAACTTATCCAAAGTGGTCAGAGCATTGGCTTCCTGTTTAGGTTTACCAAAAATTCGGGTAAACATGGTTGATTATGAGATAAATAAACCCCTATACCCTTCTGCAGCACAAAGAATCACGAAATCGATGAGATAAATGAAGAGATTAATTGTTAAATGGATGGTACAGAGAATCGCAGAAATTATATCGAAATCGAACTTATGAAATCGCAAAACGTAAAAGCGAACGAACCTGCTCGAGAATCAGGTTGTGCAGAGAGACTCGGAGAGAATACAATACAGCGATTAGGGCTTGACAAAGAGGGGAAGGGATCTGGGATGAAAGGGAAAGGAGGAGTGACCAGTGGTTGGGATGTCTGGTTAAGTTTCCTATATTTTGCGTAGGGGCGTGGAGATTAAAACAGGAAGCTGCTTTGCCTCTTCCTGACGTCGACGACGAGAACTTGCCCCACCGCGTTGCGCGTTTTGCGTTTTTTTTTTTTTTTTTATAATGAATATAATATCAGTTTTTTGGACTGACGAGGAAGATAATTTTATGAAAACCAATCTAATTTCTTTTAATGGCCAGAACAAAAAAAAATCGCTCAAGAAGGTTTCTCAAAGCTGCGGGACAGAGTAAGCATTATTATAGAAACCAACTAGGGAAAAAGTCAACATTGCTATGACCAATACTAATTGTGTATTAAAAGGATTCTCCATTATACTATCATAAATTCTTAAGAACTCATTTGACTTTTATTTTGATCTTAAATATAAAATTTTAATTCACTTTGTCTTTCATATTTATCTATTTTTTTTCCAAGACAATCCTTTTAATAATAATAGTTTTAACCAATAAACTTGATTAGTAATGATATTTTAGGAAAGATAACACATATTTATTACAGATAACTAACAACTTATTTTTTTAATTTGTTCAAATTAGTCAACTAGTTCTTATATTTAAGACCAGAAGTAGTATATTGTAATGCCTACTTGCATATAACTTGGGTTACTGCATATGCTAATTGTATATGCAAGTAGTAACATGCAAATGGGCAAATGAGTATCAATCGTATGCAATCATCATATGGTGTACTACGCAATAACATGCAATAAAAACTTACATACAAGTAAGGATATGTTATAATCAAGTAAGTATTTATCATGAAATTAACATTGGTATTATATAATAAACCTATATGCAAGTAAGCATTCATTATATACAAGTGAACATGCAGCATATGCTAGTGAACATTGTCATGTGTAATTAGTCATATACAAGTGAAGATCCGTCATATGTAGTTAGTATTTATATTTATATTATATAATAAATCTATATGCAAGTAGCTATCATGCTCAATTTGTTGTATGCAAGTAATAATTGGTTATGTGTAATTAAAATCCATCATGGCAATGGGTTTTTTTTTTCATATCTTACTCACGAGGCCTTCAACTTTACACCTTTACAATTATTATAGGTCTTACTTTCTAATTAATTTGTCAAATGGGAATTTTTACATAGAGCAACTATATATATTTTTCATGACATAGATAATAATTTAATTTTTTTTAATGATCTACAAAAATGAAGAAATTAAAAATTATCGCTGAAACTCAATGACGTATTTTGATATGGCTCTCATGCATTTTATATTATATGGTAATATTAATTTTCTTAAAAATTTTTGGACAAAATAACATTTAAACTCATTGGATGATTTTCATGGTTCTCTCAAAAAATTAAGAAAAGCCTCGCTCCTTCCCATCTGAATAAAAACACATGTACTGACGCGCGCGTTGTTAAGAGTGCCAAGGGTGTGCTGTATCCAAAAATAAAGAGAAAAAAAAAGTGCTAAGGGTGCGCGCTTGTTCGCAGCTGTGATATAAACATATTATCACCTCTTCACTGCATGTTCTTCTCGAGACTGTTCTAGGTTCCAAAAAGTTTGGATTAAGCAGTTCTAGTAATATTTGTTGAAAAAAAAATGCTTTTATATGTTGATTACCAAGTAATAACTCTAAACTACGGAATGGAAAGACATTTTTACTGTGCGACTGGGTAAAACAAGTACCACGTCTAATTCTGGACTACAGATTACTATCTCCAGTTATATTTATAAAAGCTAATTAACTAATTTGAAGAGATTAAAAAAAAAAGTTAAGTGTTATCTTTCCTAAAATATCTTTACTAATCAAATGTATTAGCTAAAATTATTATTGTTAGAAAGATTATCTTAAAAAAATAAATAAATACGAAAGACAAAGTGGATTGAGATCTCATATTTAGGACCAAAAAAAGTCAAACAAAATCTTATATTAAAGACCGAGATAGTACATCTTATATTTCAGATCAAAAGTATATCAAAAGCGTTATGATATTGGGAACTTCTAAAGATGCTTATGAGATCGTTCACCGGGTGGCCAAAGTTTCACTAATAAAAGTGTGCCTGACATCCACGGGAGTTGGGAACAGTGACCTGTGCTTATCAAAAAATAGTGTCTCACAGATTGAGTTCTACATCCATTGTTTGTGTTAGGCAGCTTCGAAATTGTACTTTATACATGACTTCCATTCGGTTCAGTGATCATAACACCAACTAAAATGTGCAAAACCAGAGATAGTTCTCAATTCTCAAATTGCAGAGAATAAAAGAATTGCATGATGCCATGTTGGCTGCACATATAGCTTGTCAGCTCTACGACCTACCCACAACATGTTATTAGAATGCAAAATCAAACGAGCCAAGTACAGATATGTATGGATGGATATTCTCACTAATATCGTCAATTCAAAACTAGACAATCCACCATATCTCAGCAAGTTCTTGCAGAACTCTTGCTGATGTGTATTTCAGTCAATAAAGCAACATATTAACTGACATCAAGCAAAATCAAGGAATTATTTTACGCGAAGTTAGTCATGCAGGTGATCAGTGCAAATGCACCATAATTTAACAGTACTATCAGTTAACCAACATTATGAGCCGGTATTTAATTAAATGAGCAAACATAAGCAAAAGCCACTAGTCAATTTCACAGCAGGTATAAATTAACTCTCAAAAAATGGATCATCGAACCGGACAAGAGATTCAAATTTATCGTTTAATACATAATCTAAGCTAATAACAAGCTTTAAAAGAAAATGAAGTCATCCTTCAAGCCTTTGATTACTTCTCCGAAGAGTTTGGTCCTCGCTTTTTCCCGAAGCCGACCACTGCAATTGCAAAATACAAAGACCATATTGGGAACCAACAACTAAAAAAGACTAAGACCTATTCTTCTACTAATTTCAATACCAAAAGGAAAAACAGCGCATTAACCAAGGCATGCAAGTTTTGAATCTCGGAGCCTTAAAAACAAGCCCAAGTTTTGAACATACCGGCAGTGACAAAACGTCTGTTATACTGCATTCGCTTGTACGCACGACCCCTGGGCTTCTTCTTTTTGTCTTGTTTGGCTACTTTTGGCGTTTGGCCTCGAACTTTGCCGGCGCGAGCCAAAGATCCGTGCACCTTACCTACGATTGAACAAATCAATGCAATTAGCAAGCTAGAAGAAGGAGGAGAGAACAGAGCCTCAGTCTGAAGGTAATCACAAGACGGATAGTAACTCACCCATGATGGATTACTGAGTTCACAGCACAGGGACGCGGCGTGCTTGAGCTGCGGACGCGGGAACAGGCGACCAACAGGGACGTTTAGTTAGGGTTAGGGCTAAAACATAAAGAATTTAAACATTGGGCTTTCTCACTATGGGATTGTAAAGCATTGGGCTTTTCTCATGGTTTGCTTGTAATATCTTTGGATTTTTTTTTTTGCATCATCACCAACTGGGTTTAGCAAAGAAACTAGTCCTTCACGTGAGTTAAGATTTGAATTGCAACTAAAAAAACTTACCCACATTTAGTACCTGACAGTATCTTAAATAAAATTACCTCCAATATAAAGATATCTATGTTTTAGTCAAAAAAAAAATCTTTAGCTTTTGGTAAGGACACTTGTTAGAAGAGTTTTAACATTAATGCTTCTGAACCAATAGAAATTAATTTCAAATCTAAAGTTACTTGAGATACTCTAAGTTTACACCCAAAAAAAAAATTTCATTGGCAAAACAAGTGAATTAAAGATCTTTAAGAACCTCAAATTGCCATACAGATGTCTAGGACCAACCTTTTTTTCCCCTCGATTTAGTTTCTAACTATTACTATTTTATTATTAAAATCGAAATTTTGTTCCATTCCGGGAAGCAAAATCGTTAATTATGAGAGATAATATAATGTAAGTTTAAAAATCTGAATTAAATAGAAATTTATTTTAGACTTAATACGATTTTTGGTCTCTCGAGTCTGTTCTTATTTTAGTTTTGTCATTTCAGATTTCAAATCATAGGTTTAGTCTTCAAGTTTTTTTTTTTAATTTAAAACGCTGGTCCTTATAACTTAATAAAAACTTAGATTGTTTTGTCTATATTTTGAAACTTGAGGGACTAAAACCAAAATGAGAACAAACTTGAGAGATAAAAAAATTATATTAATGCTTTATTTTATTTTAAAATAAAGCTAATAATTTGACCATTATGATATATTGGTTAAAAATGCTTTATAATAAAGATTAGAGAGCGGAAGTTTTAAAAACTTCTAAAAAAATTTATGAAAGATAATGATATTGGAAGTAATTTTTCCACCATTTTCTCATAAACTTCGAATGGAGCAAGAATGTTAGTCAGAAAGACAAAAACAAAGCTTTGTGTGCTCGGCAAGAAAATGAAGCTGGCGGCTGGTCTGGGACGTGTGACTCGTGAGGGAAACATATAATGCTAATCGGATTATTTGAGGCAAAAAGGCGCAACCCGGTTCCTTCATAAAAGGCTTCCGTTCTGTTAGGGTTTAAGGAATAAAATATCTGGTCCACTGTGCCTAACGATTTGAGTCCAATCCATCGACCCCATTGCTGAACAGCACCGTGACTTCCAAGACAGCACCAATGGCAGACCTTTCTGCGCCACCCACGGACCAGTTGGCGGCGACCACTCTCAACGACACCTTATCATCTCATGTTTCGAAAGCTGAATTCTCGGATCGCGTCCTGATTAGATCCATCATTTCCCGACCGGACGGCGGGTCGGGTCTCTCGGGCCAGAAGGCGAGGGTTGGCGGTTGGGTTAAGACGGGAAGGAAAGCCGACAAGGACGCTTTCGCGTTCTTGGAACTTAATGACGGATCGTGCCCCGGGAACCTGCAGGTGATAGTGGAGGCTTCTTTGGGGGACCTCGGCCAGCTTGTGCCTACTGGCACCTGCGTTGTGGTTGATGGCGAACTCAAGCTGCCTCCTGCTGGTGCAAAGCAGAAGGTGGAACTACGGGCTGAGAAGGTTGTCCATGTTGGTCCTGTGGATCCTGCGAAGTACCCATTACCCAAAATGAGGCTTACCCTTGAGTTTTTGCGAGATTTTGTTCACCTTCGTTCTAGAACTAACACGGTAATTGTTATTGCAAACATTTTTATCACATGCTTGGATATGCACATGCCTAGACATTGATTCTGGCGTAAAATGCTTTGTAATATTTAAAACCAAATCATTATGTCTCTAGGGATCCCTCACACACACACATTGATTTGTCTAAACCGCACCATCTTTGATCATGCTAAACAACTAGGGCGAATGCAGAGCCTTGAAAGTGAAAGACTTTCGACATTTCTTGAGAGCGGGGGGATGGGTTTAGATGTGAGCTTGGGAGGCACATACGATTCGTCAATATTGAGTTTTAATTTAATATCTAAGCAAACTGAAGTATTCAGGCAGTATAATCAATGGTTTAAAAACCAACCGTAGATTGAATCGGGGTATAGCATTTCGCTATTGAGTGTTCTCATCCTAACATGTACGCAACCACGTATGTATGTATCTGCATGCATATGCATATATAAATCTTAATATTTAACTCTGTGTGTATTATATTTCCAATTAATTTGGTACTTGCATTGTAGAGTGATTTCTAAATCTAAATATTTGAGCTTATAAGACTTAGTTGAAGTATTTTTCTTATGCTTACAATTTCATATGAAATGGGTGGGATAGAGTCAACCAAATGTCATAAATCTCTTGTGTAGATAGGCAAAACTAGGAAAGAAAACTCGAATTTTAGTTTTTGATTATTTGTTGTCGAATCAGTCAGTTTTTTGGCCTGATGCATTTCTGGGTCAACCGGATTGAAACCATGGCTGTCATGCCTAATTGGGCCGGTATCATAAAAATTGGCTGTATTTGCAACTTGGGGATTGCGTACTACGTGTGTATATTACGGTGAAGGATGGTTATCAAATGCCATGTGCTTTCTTTTATTACATTTTTCCTGCTAATATTAACAATTTTAACATATGCTGCCTATTTCATAAGTCCCTAATGGTTCATCTTTTCAGTATTTTACTTATTATTAGCATCTATTAATTGGTTATGGTTCCAGATATCTGCCGTTGCTCGAATCCGTAATGCTCTTGCCTATGCAACACATACTTTCTTCCAAAAGCACGGATTTCTTTATGTGCACACGCCCATTATCACTACCAGCGATTGTGAAGGTGCAGGTGAAATGTTTCAAGTTACAACTTTGCTCAGTGAAGCTGAGAAACTGGAGAAGGAATTGCGAGAAAATCCTCCTCCATCAGAAGCCGATATTGAAGCTGCTAGAGTTCTTGTTAAGGAGAAAGGGGATGTTGTTTCCCAATTGAAATCTTCTAAAGCAAGTAAGCAGGAAATTAGTGCTTCCGTGGATGAACTCAAAAGAGCGAAGGAGAATGTCTCAAAACTGGAAGAGAGATACAAACTTCGACCTGGTATTCCTCAAAAGGATGGGAAGACTGACTATACCCGAGATTTTTTTGCCCGTCAAGCATTCTTGACTGTTTCAGGCCAACTTCAAGTTGAGTCCTATGCATGTGCTCTTAGTAGTGTGTATACCTTTGGGCCAACTTTTCGTGCAGAACATTCCCACACTTCAAGGCATTTGGCAGAATTTTGGATGGTGGAACCTGAAATTGCTTTTGCAGATTTGAAGGTACATGAACTTCAATTCAGCATCTGTATTTTCTTAGTTATGAGAGTAACAATTGTTTTAAGTTATGAAATGGATTGCTATTGTTGTATTTTATCTTTTTCCAAATCTGTTCATCCTAAACATTTCTTGTTGCTGTACTTGTTACTTTGCCAGCATGCTTCTCTGCTGAGTGACAATTCATATATTCAATTTTAGGTCTTATGAACTTGTGAATTTCCTAATGCAATGTTAAACAGCCCCCTTCTCCCAATCCAATTGCAGTTCTGCATTTTTTGTTGCTTGATAATATTAATGTTCTTGTGTTTCTGTTGCACATTAGGATGATATGAACTGTGCAGAGGCCTATGTGAAATTTTTGTGCCAGTGGTTACTCGATAATTGCTTTGAAGATGTGGAGTTTATGGCAGATAAGTTTGATAAGGGGTGCATTGACCGCCTGAAGATGGTTGCTTCCACGCCATTTGTACGTCTTTCATATACTGAAGCAGTGGAAATACTAGAGGAGGCTGTAAAGAGTGGTAAGAAGTTTGATAACGAAGTGAAATGGGGGATTGACTTAGCATCTGAGCATGAAAGGTATATTTTAAGTTTGTTTTTTTTTTTTTTTTAACCTTTTCGTTTCTCCTTGATTTGAGGTGAATGATATATTCGCGGCATGATGTTCTGTAGGTATTTAACAGAGGTAAAGTTTCAGAAGCCTGTCGTTGTATATAACTATCCAAAAGAAATCAAAGCATTCTACATGCGCCTCAATGATGACTCAAAGACTGTGGCTGCTATGGATGTTCTTGTACCAAAGGTAATCCAATGTGTTCTGCATATGTGAATTTCGTTGCAACTGCTACTGGTATTTGTGATGTTGCGATAATAATACACAAATAATTTCAGGTTGGAGAGTTAATTGGTGGAAGCCAAAGGGAAGAGCGTTATGATGTCATCCAGAAGAGGTAGGAGAAACATTGTTGTTTGTACCTCCTCACCTTGTCTTGTCTTGTCTTTTCTGTTAGTATGTGCCCGGTTAATTTACTCCGTTATTTGATATTTTTCGTATTGCAGAATAAAGGAGATGGGTCTGCCTATGGAGCCATATGAGTGGTACCTTGACCTGAGGCGGTATGGGACTGTGAAGCATTCTGGCTTTGGTCTTGGCTTTGAACGGATGATTCTTTTTGCTACAGGCTTGGATAACATTCGAGATGTCATTCCCTTCCCTCGTTACCCGGGCAGAGCAGATCTTTGATTTATTCGCTTCTGTTGCAGAAGTAGTTGGATTGAAAGCAGAAATTTAGTTTGAAAATATAATATGCAAATTGGTGTGAGGTAACTCAGCTCATAATGTCATACATGAGTTAGCTCTTTCTTATATCAACTGTATAACTACATCCTTATGAAGGAATTTTTGTCTTCTTAAAATTGATTCTTAATTGCCCATTTCTTGTGCATTTTATACATCATTACATGTGTAATTGTTAAATTCATAATCATCTTGGTTTGACCGATATAGTGTTCGACTTTGTGCCGAAACATTAGTATCTTCCGTCTAATATCTTGCATATCAGAGAGATGAGTTGCCTGACGGCATGGATTCCGCACCTTCGATCACGCTCACTCGCCCTGTTCAAGGAAATCTGTAGTG